TTTCATTTTTATACCTGATGGGGGAGCACTCGAGCAGTTTTTTTTTCATGTTACTGTGACCTAACAGCATGTTTCATCCTCTAAGGTGCATACCTGTTGACGCTGAAGGACACCTTCTTCGACAGATCAAAAGCTTGCCAGATAGTGGCATCAATTCTTGTGGGTAAAGATGAAAAAGTCAGGATTTCTCTTCCTCACCCGGCTATTATGAAGGTATTTTGACTATCACTGTGTCACCTAACCATTCTGTGTTTCTTGGCCTTCTAATATTCTGTTATATGTTTAACAGCCAGTCGCACTGTGGACGGGCAAGCAGATCTTCAGCATGATTCTGAAGCCGAATAAGGACTGTCCAGTCAACGCAAACCTGCGGACAAAGGGAAAACAGTACTGTGGCAAGGGAGAGGATCTCTGCTCTAATGACTCATGTAAGTTTATTAAATAAAATGTCTGCTTAACAAGCTTTAAAATTTTTACAGCCCTGTAAAAATTATTGCTTTGATCAAACAGTCACCTTCATAAGAGATATAATCAAGTAGTCAAGACATAAAAAAATTAGGTCTTGCAACATCACAGCCCATGTGTTCTGATGAATATTTCTACAACTTGTTTGTATTATCAGTATCTGTTTTTACAGTTTTTATTATAGAAATCATCACATAAAACGTTGCAGGTTTACATTTTTGTATTGCAACAACCTTCAGTAAAAAGAAAAATCATATCAGGATAAAGGCTCTGGTTTGCTTTGAAACATTTTTGTTTGTTTTATGAAAATACTGGTTTTGAAGAAAAAAAAACATTCCATTCAAGGGTATTTTTGTCTGGGCCGAGTGTCTTTCATTTTCTCTGCTAAAATAGCATCAAGTGTCCTGAGGTGAACGTCAAACCGTTACATTGACCTTGTTGGTGTTTCTATTCTGGTTTTAATGGCGTCGCCTCTTTTTTCGTTTTTTATTTGTCACGTCCACAGTTGTTGTGATTCACAACAGTGAGCTGATGTGCGGTAGCTTGGACAAAGGTACCTTGGGATCCGGCTCCAAGAACAACATTTTCTACATTTTGCTGAGAGACTGGGGGCAGCTGGAGGCTGCCAACGCCATGTCCCGCCTGGCAAGGCTAGCTCCTGTGTTTCTCTGTAAGTGGTCTTAATTAGCATCAAGTCAYTGAATCTTTGGAACAGTGTTATTCTTAATTAAGTATTTCTTAAAAGCAGCAAGTGTCTCGCTAATAATGTTCAAACATGTCTCGGGATAGATCTTGGATAGCCCCTTTTCAGGATTGTTCAGCCTTTGTGTTTGCACTGATGGGAACACAGATTATTTTGGGGACACACRCTTGTCRTGCAATCAATGTCAGCGTCTTCTTTCCGTCTTTGTGGTGAACGAGAGAGAGAAAAGTTTTTCGTCCTCAGACTCCTCTGTGACACAGTGTTTCAGATATATGAGAAAATATTGAACTTTATTGTACATTAGCAATAAAATCAGTCAAAATTTACTCCCATGTATAGTACAACCTTACAACTTCGTGGATGATTTTTGGAATAAGAATTTTCACATTATGCACACATAAATACGGTGTTTATTTTTCTGCATTTTTTTGTGGTAAGTTGAAACTTTTGAGAAGCTGATAACTATTCTGCTAACTAGTAATTGAATGCATTTTAAACTTTTTATTCACACCCAACTTTTAGCCAATCGGGGGTTTTCGATTGGAATTGGTGACGTGACGCCCGGTCAGGGTTTGCTGAAGGCCAAGCAGGACCTACTGGATGACGGCTACAAGAAATGTGACGAGTACATCGAAGCGTTGGCCACGGGAAAGCTGCAGCAGCAGCCAGGCTGCTCAGCCGAGGAGACCTTGGAGGTAGGCGTTTGTCACCTGGGTCCTCACCTTCAGAATGCTTTTGTGAAAATTCACACTGSTGATGTCTCATCAAATGTGTTACTGACTTCCAATTGAAACAGGTCGTGTGTATCTTTCTGACTGGCTTATATAAGCAGACATGGTGGTTTTGACAATAAATTCAGTACAACAGGTATGTTCAGGAGCAGGGGCGGTACTGGCTGTACAGGGCTWTTAATGACAAGTCTTAAACATCAATGTTTCATTAATCTGATGCTGCAGTTGCTCGGTTGGTCAGCGCATCTGTGGTATTATCCTGAGGCTGAGGGCTTGAGTTTATCAGGAAGGGCGTTCAGCGTAAAACRTCTTTCATTTGAATTTGATCACTGTTGCGGCTCCTCCAGAAGAATGCAGCCRAAAGAAAAACAATAGATTTGTTAAACTGATCGTGTTTGGTCATTTAGCTTTAAAATGAAGAGTTAATGTCTCTTAGTTATTGTTAAATTGTAATGTCTTGATTTTTGTTTTGTGTATCTTGTAGGCTTTTTTAATGCCTAGAAAGTTTTAAAGGGGCAATATCATGCAAAATCAACTTTTTTGAGTTTTATATCATGTTATAATGTT